TTTTATGGTCAAGATCCTCTCTCTAGTGCACACACACACTTTTCTCTGCTTTAACACACTCTTGCACACAGAAGTGCACATAAATCCAGCTGCTAGATAGCCTTTTCCCATTATTATGATCATTATTCCCACCACTTTCTTTTTTCATTTTTTTTCCACACACACACACATTACTTTGAGTCTGTATGAGCTGATATTGTCCAGGGCAAGTTAGCCACTGTCTGAAGGTGACGTTTATAGTCCTGTATCTCTTCATTAGTGCCACCAAACCTACATAACCCTGACTCTCTGTCCTCCTCAGGCTGTGGAGTCTCAAATCAGAAGTTTTGGACAGACACCCTGCCAGCTGCTGATCGAACACACACACACACACACACACTCTCTCTCTCACACACACACACTCACACACACTCACTTACTCTCTCTCACACACACACACACACAAGACACTCACTGTCCAATTATCATCTTTAAAATGCAAACATTCACAAATTTATCAACATGTCTGCAAAACTGTTAAGATCAAGTCTATTGCATGTCGTGCCAGTGTATTGTCATATGATAATAATCTTTATTTGAATCAGGTTTCATAATTAGATAACAAGTTGGGTACAAATGCAGGAAACCCTGCAGGATTTTTTTTTTCTTTCTATTACTACATTTTTGCATACGATCTCTTTTCTCCTCATTTGCTCTATAAGCAGGACCCAGTGTCAAATCAGAAAGCATCCCATGCGTTTCCACCACAGAAAAAGCGTTTCTGGGTCGTAAAAAACAGCTTCGACTCGAGTCAGTGCAGGAGAATTAAACGAGTTAGTGCAGGAGAATTAAAGTGAAAGTGATGAAAACGAGTATGTCAAAAGTAAGTCAAGACGGCACAGTCAGGAGGCTGTTCTAATCTTATTCCAATACACCAGTATTTTCATAGCAACACAGGCCGCTTAAAGTGAAGAAAGTTCTCAACATAACTGATATTCAAAACGGTAAGCGAGCGCTGCTTTGTTTATGTTTTGTAGATTTGCGTGTATCTCGTATATCCTTGTTTCGGTTTCTCCTTTTGAATGACGAATATAGACTATTGGATAACACTTCAAAATATACACATATTCACTATTAATTAAGAGTTTTCCCTCAATAAACTTCTAATTTGCTGCTTAGTAAGGTAGTTGTTAAATTTAGGTATGGGGTCAGATTAAGGGATCTAAAATATGGTCATGCAGAATAAGACATTAATATGTGCTTTATAAGTATTAATAAACAGCCAATATGTTAGTAATATGCATGCTAATAAGCAGCTAGTTAATAGGTCCTTAAAATAAAGTGTTACCGACTATTGATATCTGCTGATATAGACAGTTAATTCCTCTTACGCAGGCGCAGAACGCACATGGTGCAGTCGCTGTAGTCTGTGCTGATGTGTTCAAGCACAGCTTTTTGGTCCAGACGCAGCCGATGCGAGAAATCTAGTTCTTTGAAGGCGGTTTGGTGTGTCCCGGCCTTTAGTGACACAAACTGGTCTTGAACGTCATTATCCACTTAATGTCATTATCCACAGCAAATAGTGTTCAAAACAACAACTTATTCTGGCAAAATTGACATAAAACTAGAGTGCACATTATAATCATCCAATGCGCCAATGTGACGCCTCTTGAGTTAATTTCTTTCTTTATGCTGCATTACTCATCAGCTCGAGCCACTTCATTTTTCCTGTCGATCTAAAATAAAATAATGAAGTTGTTTGGGCAGGGTAGGGAGAAATGTAGGCAGTTCGACTTTCAAATGGTCTGGGTCTGAGAAAGGTTTTGGTGGAAAACGGGTTTGAAACTGTAGCTGTCTGCTTAAATCAACTCTTTTGCACTTTACGGCTCTCCTCTCTCCTGTCCTCTTTCAGTGAGAAAGGGTCCCAGAAGTGGGAAAAGTCTTGTGGTTGAGCGTAGAGCTCTGAGGTGATAGGGTCTTTAGTCTAGAAACTAAGAGACTGTGGGTGAAGGTCTAGAAAGCCCCATTAGCTGTGTGTTTCTGTGGCGATGACAGCCCCTGCCTGCCTGTGTGGGGAAAAAACTCCCACACTCTCCTCTGAATGTCCACATGCAGATATAGTTATAGGCTCAGAACTGCATTTCGTAACAGTGACACTAAACAGTTTGACTACACAACATCATCATAATCACACAATCCCTTCCCAAGCACTGTGAAATGCTAGAAAACATCACTCTCTGAACAGATCTGATACAGAGGGAAGACTTTGTTGAATTGTTGGTTAATGATTGTGGGTTGTGGATGCACTTTTTTTTGTTTGTTTGATTGTTTGATTTTAACACTTGATGAATGACTACACTATTTTTAATTTTGTCATTTCGTTTGAGTATTAACATTTGTGAGATTTAATCAGAAAAGTTATGGGAATAATTTATCTAATTTTCACCCGGTTTCACAGCCTAGTCTCAGACTAAAATGCATGTCTGGGCTGTTTTAACTGAAAGTTATTGATTTGTCTCAAGATGCTCACCAGTAATGTTTTTTTCTAAGGTACGTTTATAAAGGATACTTAAATGTCCTAATTGAACTCTGGCCTAATCCTGTCTTAATTTAAGCCCTGTCTGTGAAACCAGGCCTTTGTGTCTCTGGGAAATAGTGTTGAATAATTCAATTATGTTGAATATTAATATTGTATAATGTTTTTTTTTTTTTTTTTGTTTTTTTTTTTTTTAAATGAAGGATTTGTGGACACACACATGTGTTTAGATTTAGAAATTATAGTTTTTCTTTTGAATTGAAAAGATAAAATTAGACCTTTGAGGTACACCTCAAGTGGCATGCTGTTACTAGTTTTATTTATTTTTTAAATTGAATTCTTATAATAATTCATTGGGTTGTCATTATTCAATAATCCAATGAATTAGATGTACATTTTAGACATCCTCACTTTTCATGAAAGCTTATAGGCTAATTGAAATCATTCAGTTTGAATTCATAGCATTGCTATAATGACATATCTTCAATTAGAATACAAAGATATACAAAAAACAACAATCCCAATCCCACTGTACAACTATTTTATTAGGCAACAAAAGCAGCATTTTGAGATAGATGGTATGACAAGACAAGACTCTTTTTCTTTTGAATTAACGTAATTTTTATGCAATCCTATATCTGGATTATACACATTATTCACGTTCTCTCTTTCTCTCTCTGTCTCTACTTTCTTTCTCTCCCTCTTCCATGTCTCCAGTAGTTTAATGAGAGTAGATCCTCTGTTTAATGGCACTCACAGGCTGAACACTATTTAAGAGGTGCTAGCTGTCTGTCTAATTTACTGCAGGCACACCAGTTAACCCTGTGTCTCCATACTGTCTAAAAATCACACACACATGTTAGGATTAGACGTCACAGACATAAGACAACAGTTAGGCTGGATTAGAGAACAATGTCAATGGTGACATTGAGAGACATACTAGGATACAGTGGGTATAGAAAAGAATCAGCCCCCTTTAAAATCACATTTTGTTGCTTTGCAGCCTGAAATGAAGACGGACACAGTTTTCGTTTTATCCAGCTGTATTTACTCAGTGCAACTTATAACATCCAAGTGAAAGATACTTGTGGACAGACACAAGTCAGGAGATGGATACAAAAAATTCAAAGTCTTTATCAATGCCAGGGCTTAATGTCCATCTTCATTTCAGGCTGCAAAACAGCAAAATGTGATTATTTGGAGGGGGGGGGTTCTTCTCTATACCCACTGTATATGAGCTTAGCATATAGTTACACTTTCTCCAATAGTTTAGACATTCTGTATGTGAAGTGCTTAATCTGTGCTGTTTAGACCAATTATAGGTTTGTAAACATTCAGGATGCGTGCACATCATGGTTGCAGAAAACCCGGGAGAGATAGAGTTCCCAGTGTTTTTCTGCAACCACTATGCGCGCGCAGCTGCAAGTGACGTAACTGTGACGTCTATTCTAAATTGGTCTATTGAAGCATCATTTAAAGCAACAGCCAATCAGATCGGTGGTTGAGAGTAACAGTGCAGCTGCCTGGACTGAACACTATCCTATACAAACACAGCCCTGCCTCGACGAGGAAGTCCGCTTGATGGTTGGTTGACTTTGCTGCCAAGTAATCAGACAGCTGTGTATGTGCATATACCTTTTAAGCTTGTAGAGTGGAACACAGTAGAAAGCAGATTATAATGTTACTAATGGAAATTGGAATATACTGTGGCAGCCTAAAGGAAAGTTCAGATTAATTTGAAATCTGCTATGATATTTCTATGCCTTTACAACCTGTTTTCCTTCTGTTTATCTTGTACTCATTACCCAGGAATTCTAACTTAGCATGTAACTTAGCCTAGCAGAAGCATTTCTGGAATTCTCTGAGGTCCAAAAATGTCAAATATATCATTGTTTTTTGTGAAACGAAAGCGTGTAGCCGCTTTGATCTCGTTCTCTCTCTGTCCTCTTTTCTCCAGCTTTAAATTACTTCAATGCATTTGTTCATGAACTTCATCATTAGTCTACAAAAAATACTGCTTATCTGGAATGATATAGCAGTACGTGACTAATAGGAGCTAATATTTTGTAAGGCAGAGCTAATGCAATCATATATTGATATGATCAATTTTTCAGATTATTGTATTGTTTTATTATTAATATTTTTTGTATTTTTATGTATTATAATATAAAATGTTCTTTTAAATATGTTTATTTATTTATGATTCGGATTCTACTCAATTCCAGCTTAGTAACAATTCTGTGAACAATTTTTGGAAAACAGTTCTCATTCAACCTTCAGAAGCCTGTTGTCCTGTTATTGTCCTAATAACCTCTGACCTCAGTCTCCGCTTTTATGCTCTTTTACACTGTTCAGTCTTTCGCTGCCTAATTTCCTCTCTTCCTGCTTCCACTTTTCTCTTCCACTTTCTTCCTCTTTTCCTCTACTCTCCCTTGTTCCCCGCTGATGATGGTGGTCATGGACTCAACAGTATCTCCTTCTGCAGACCCCACTGATGTTCACAGAGCAGATGCAGCAGGACGTCATCATGGTACTCAAGTTCCCGTCCAACTCGCCTGTCACCCACGTGGCCGCCAACACACAGCCAGGCCTGACCAACCCAGCGGTCATCACAGTCACCGCCAACCGCCTCTTCGCCGTCAACAAGTGGCACGGCCTCACTGGTGAGCAAGAGCGATCAGACAGCGAGGTGATGGATAAGGAGTACGGGTGTGATGAGATCTCGAGCCACAAAATCTCGCGATATTAAAATGCGACAATATTTCTTGTTGAGGTGAAAGGCTGTCTCGTGATATCAGCGCGACTGCAAATGTGATATTGGTTTTCAAACAAGAAGTTAATATTGGGTTATATTTTAGACTCAATATTTTCTGCTTTGCTCTATTTCGCAAACAAAATAGTTCTAAACAAAGCCATGGCAGAACTGTCTCCGAGCAACACAGTGGTGATTCGTTACTGAATGAATCTGCGGTTTTGAACGAATCGAGTGAGTCAATGATTCAGTGAGCCATTCATAAAAAGTCATTTGATTCATTTCTGAATCAGTCAGCCGTTTGAACGAATGACTCACTTGTTAAGATTTGCCGCCACCTACTGGTATAATTATTTTATTTTTTTTAAATCATTTAATATTTCAATATTCATTTTTTAAAACTCATTTATTATCATTGTTAATGCAAATTGAGTCAGAATATTTCTTTCCAAAGCTAATTTTTGTAGTGTCCATTCAGTGCTTTACTCGTCTAACGCAGTAATGCTGCATTCAGAAGTTAGAAGTTCAAGCACAGTTATAAGGTCTGAAGAGACTCGTATCAAATCATACAAGAGAGAAGCCGGTCAGATGAGAAAATGGTCGAGAAAGTAGAAATGACATTCATTACAAGATGATTAGTTAAAACATTTCAAAAAACATTCAAAATTTTGTGGCTTTCAGTCGAATAAGATTTCTTAAAATATAAGTGTTAAAATTCTTAAAAAGTGTTAAAATATCTCATCTCGTGAGCTAAGTCTTATTATCACACCCCTAATAAGGAGTGAATAAGTCTGTTGAATCATGAGATCTGTTCATTTACAACCTTGATACTGATTAGTTACTTCTTTAACCAGGTTACTCAACTCCATCTCATGAGAAAACGTGAATATTTTATAAGGTGATGATTTTGTATGAATTTGTACAGTGTGATTCAAATGGAAACATGCAATTTTTTTGAAAAAAATTAAGCATGAAGGTCCCAACTTTTAACCTGGCCGTCATTATGGCATTATCATTATACGCCAAAATGTATAATAGTTATGGATTGTCTAATTCAGTAGCTTGATCCCTCTAAGCTCTGGTTGTGTATAATCATCTGCTTCTTAGACATTGAAGTCTCAGCCTGAATCGGATCAATCGCTTGCATTCAGCTTCCTGTCCACCTCCATTAATCATCCTCTTATTATTATTATTATTATTTATTTATTTATTAAAGATCAATCTAATTGTAAGAAGCGCTGCGAGGTATTCACCATAATAAGAGGAAGGGTGCTTCTCAGGGCGTAAACTTTATCTCTTCATATATGATGGTTTTATTTTCAAAAATAAAATTTTTAACAATTTATATGAAATTGTTGCCGTCACAATGTACATGAATGAATTCATGAATGTCAGTCATGTCAATGTACATGAATGTCAGGTTCACACCAGACAATTTTAGCCAAGATTTTGCTTTCTTAAACACATTTTGGCGAGCAGTGAGCTGTCAACGTACAGTCTAACAAGCAACAGTCATACAAGAACTTAAAAACTCAGCTTAAGACACTGAATATATTCAAAGAATGGAATAAAGGCATTTACATGCCAAGCAAAATGATGGTAATCCCGTCATGCTGTCGATCACATTTAACCCGTTATGAGTATGATTTTTGACCCTTATTGCATAATACTTATTTATAATGTATTTATGCAAAATCTGATTTGCATATATCGATTTTAGCGCATCACCACAATTTTGCTCCGCATGCTTGTTTACCTACCTATCAATGCCAAAACTGGAGAAAAACTTGACAATAGCAAAATCTTACATTAATGCTGGCATGTTTTTATAATTAGTTTTTTTTTCCGGCTTTATTTATTCTTTCTTGAACAGTAGATCAATGTTCTTTGTTTAGGTGTTATTGTCATCTGTCTGCTGTAGAAAATGACTGTTAACTGACCTCTATGAATAAGTATCCTGATGGTACATAGTATGAAATCTATTTTTCATCTGTCCTCTCTCTTTCTCTCAGGTCATCAGAGCGCGTCTGTGCAAGACCAGCAGTACCAGTTACCGGTTGAGATTGACCCTTTGATAGGTCTGTGGCTTGTCAGTCGTCAGTAGAGTGATTTGTGATTGGCTGTTGTGAGTTGCGAGGGCCCGGCCCTTGGGAGGAGATGAGTGCTGTTTTTCACCCAGCTTCAGATCAGCATTTGCATGCAAATTGGAAAGCAATGAGCTGTGGCTTAGCCTGTACATCATCAGCTCTCTCTCTCTTTCTTTTTCTGTCTCTCTGCCCTGTCAGACTGAATGAATATGAATGGTGTAATAATGTCTGATTGAAGCCGCGTGGCACGCGCTGTCAGGACAATATGTCCTCCTCTCATCCCTCCGACCTGTTGATGAGGAATAAAGGGATGAGAGAGGGAAGATGTGTGATAACATATGGCTGAAGCCTTTCTCTCCACCTATTCATCTTATATCTCAGCTCTCCTCTTTATTTTTTTCAACCTCTGTTAATGTCTCTGCCGCTCCGTGACTGTCTTGAGCTTATTTTTCTAAGCTGTTTATATTTCTCTCCATTTTACCCAATCATTTTCTAAGCAAGAAGTTGTGTTTGCACTTTAAGCAGTGACTCTCTCTGTTTTCAGCCAATAATGTGGGCATTCACAGGAGGCAGATCTCAGATCTGTTAGATCAGAGCATCCAGGTAAATGCTCAGTGTTTTATCATCACGGCCGACAACCGCTTCATGCTGCTCTGTGGCTTCTGGGACAAGAGCTTCCGCGTCTACTCCACTGATACAGGTAACCGCAACGACCCCCCCAGCACCTCTCCACTGCAATACACAAAGGAAAGGGTCAAAAGTCACAAATGAGCCTGCAGACTGCATTACAACTCCATCGCCGCGGGGCTCAGATAGCTTTCTCATCTCATGGATGGACCGTGACTCCATCTCGTGGGAGCATGAGGCTCAGAACGCAAGTCACGCAAGCGGACCTTGAATTTCAATAGAATCACTCCACACGCAAACGCTCCCAAGCTCTGAGATCTACACACAGACTGACAGACAGATGATAGATAGATAGATAGATAGATAGACACTCTGACAGAACTGACAGACAGATAGATAGACAGACAGACAGAACCGACAGACAGACTAGATAGATAGATAAATAGATAGACAGACAAACCCACAGACAGACTGACAGACAGATAGATAGATAGACAGACAGACAAACCCACCGACCGACAGACAGATATATAGATAGATAGATAGATAGATAGATAGATGCTTGCTGATTTTCTTATGCACACACACAGATGTCAGCATGCACATGCAGCACTCCAAAAACAGCTATTTAAAGGAATTGGGGAGTGTGTGAGCTCATCTGGTGAATGTAAACAGCTCAACAGACAGCATCATCTCAGTAGAGTCATTCACTCACACCCTGCAGGGTGTTCTGCACTGCGGACTGCTGGCCCCATGAAGATATGCTCCAGAATCAGACCTTGAATCATGGAGGCAAAAAATCATTACAAATATATATATTGTGCATTGTACATACCCCACCCCCCATCCCATACACACACACTGCAGTAAGTCGTTTCAGTTCCTGTGTTATGTGTTTGTGTGTTAACAGGTAAACTGACACAGATTGTGTTTGGCCATCTTGATGTGGTGACGTGTCTGGCGCGCTCAGAGTCATACATTGGCGGAGACTGTTACGTTCTGTCCGGCTCCAGAGACGCCACATTACTGCTCTGGTACTGGAACGGCAAGCACAGCAGCATTGGAGAGAACCCTGGGAGTAAGTTGTAAATGTTAAGCCACATACAGACCCAAAAGTGAAAATTCTGTCATGTACTGATCATGGGTGTCACTTTTATTGCCTGGAAAAGAGCAGCTTGAACATCCTGCTAAGTAACTCCTTTTGTGTTCCTCACATGTCATTTAATTTTTATTTTAATGAAGGCTCCAAAATATGTCTGAATAATTAGTTTCATCAGCATTGGTGCTCAGAAGAGCCTCTAGAGTTCCTCATGTTCCTCACATAGAGAGGTCAAGATCAGGGTAACGTTTAGAGTCCAAATCCCCAACCAGCACTTAGCAAACACGCATAGAAAAAGCTTTCATGCAGGTGATGATATCAGTGCAGTGCAACAGTGTTAAAAGCACATTGTTCATGCACGCACATTCCAGTGTGTGTCTGTCATGGCCGGTGTAATGATTTACGGCTCACTCTCAGAAGCTACAACTAGTTTCATCTGACCACAGCAGGTCTCTGCTCAGAAGATTGGGTTTCAGGCTAGTATCACACCATAAATGGAATCGGCCTGCCTGTGTGTGTGTGTGTGTGTTTGTGTGTGTGTGTGTGTGTGTGTGTGAGAGTGTCTGTGTGTGTGTGTGTCTGTGTGTGTGAGTGAAAGTAGAGGCCAGAGGGCCACAGAGGGAGACAGTAAATGTGACTCGGAGGTCTCCGGCTCAAGAGAGTTCAGTCCCATCTATATGAGAGAGCGAGAGAACACTCAATAAAAGTGAAAAATGCCACGGGCTTCCCCTGCACACACTAACCATATGGCTGCAGTGCTGATCAAAGCGCTCTACACACACACACACACACTCTCTCAAAAAACACACACACATCCTCTTTACTAATTTGGATGCTCTGCATGCTGTTAAGTGCTCTTCTACAAATGGGACAGGATTTATGACTAATTGTGATTTAGGTAATCTAAAGATAAATATGACTGTAGGTGGATGTTTGACATTAAAGAGCCTAAGAGCCAGACTTTCATCTAAAGTCAAATCAAACTGAATCTCTGGATTGGTATCACATGTACAGGCCATATTTTCCAGTAATATTATCAGGTGGGTAAAGGGATGAAAGGTAAAAACAAAAAAAACAAAAAAATTTAGTCATATCAAGATAATCAGGAAACCTTGCAGGAATCAGTTCAGACCCCCCAATTTTTGTCCAAACTACATATGTATTATTATGTTTTTGATCAATTTTAATATTTTATAAATGTAATTTATTTTTGTCTATCAATCTATCATTAATAATACTGATTTAAGTTTCACAAGTCAAACTTGATTCATGATTCTGCAGCATTCACTCAGCATAAAATGTCAAAATTATTATAAAATCTATGTAATAGCTTCTGTCTGGTTACTAAATAGCGATAATGCCAGACATATTAGGTGAATTTATGTTATTACATATTATGTTAGGTATTTAAATTTTTTGCTGTTTGTTAATTTCTTTCATTTTGACACTGTTCTTCATTTAAGGCAGGAATTAAGTTACAGTATGATTTCAAATATAGGTGGTTTACATCCATACCTAGTCTTTCCCAGGCTGTGTACAGTACAGTGATTCTGTTGACCACACTGCCATCTAGTGGCCAAATGATGCACAGCACTTTCATAAACCATGATTTTAAAACCAATTCAATCTGATGCTGTTTCAGTTATTATAGATATATTATTGCATCATTTTTTTCTAAAATTGTCCTGTGTTTATGTATTCATTTTCTCTCTCTTACTCTGATGTGTATATGATACTCTCTAGTGTGCATTTGCAGTACAGATAAATAGTATACAGTATATAGGTATTAGATTGTAATCAGATGTTGTCCTAATGTGAACCAAATGGTGGCTGATGACGGGGAGGTTAAACGATACACCAATATATCAGTTTTATTGATCTTTTCAGGACACAATCCGACATCAGGCTTTAATCCCTGGAGTTGTAGGGTATAACTCAAAGCTGAGACATTTAGGAAGTTTGCCACCTAATGAAACCTATACATCTACACTGAGAGTGTGTGTGTGTGTGTGTGTGTCTGTGTCTGTGTCTGTGTCTCTCTCTCTGTGTGTGTGTGTGTGTGTCTGTGTCTGTGTGTGTGTGTGTGTGTGTGAGAGAGAGAGAAAGACAGAGAGAGGCCAGCTGGATTAAAGCAATTAAATGTGTGTGATTTCTGTGTATCCAGGTAGAAAGAGAACTCATTAGTTTATTAACTGTGTGTGTGTGATATGGACAGAAAGCACACACACACGAATGCTAGCAGAGCTCATCATTGCAGTGATTACACACTCTAATTACATTATCACGGAGTAGACAACAAATAAAAAAACTCATTTTGACATTGAAATTGACAGCAGTGTTAAATAAGGAAGTGCAGCTATTATATCATTCATGGTGTGATGTAGTGATTGTGATAACTATTATTTGTGATTGCTTTTTTTATGATTGTATCATTAACTCTCTGTGTGTGACTCTCCAGCAGAATTCGTGACTCCTCGGACGATCCTGACGGGTCATGATTGTGAAGTCACGTGTGCGAGTGTGTGTGCAGAGCTGGGACTGGTCATCAGTGGCTGCAAAGGTAAACACACTCTTTTTATTTATATATTATTTTTTTTATTTATGTTTGAATTGCTAAGAATTTTTATTTATTTATTTATTTTTTATTATATTTATTTATTGTTTATATAATTTTTTTTTTAATTTAATTACTATTTTAATTTTTTTAATTATTTATATTTATTTTTGTTTACTTACTATGATTGATTGTGATCTCTGGGTCAAACTTATGTTTTTGCATGTACAGTACACATATAAATCTACCTTTACAAAACTTTCCTGCGTAATCAGCATTGTCAAATGAGTTCCTTAAAATGAGCAAAATGTCTTACCATACTTGAATAAAATTTTAATATTTTACATTTTAATAATGACAAAAACTTAAAAATTTATCAAAAATTACCCTCGCACACCTGCAGGTAATTTATAGGTACATAAGACAGACGACCAAAAATAAGTCAAAACTCAAAACAAAAAAAAATCATTCATTTTTGTTTTTAGAAACTTAAAAATTAAAGAAGAAAAAAAGCCAATGTTGTTCAAAGCTTATATTTTTAGATCATTCAATAAAAACCTTCATGTTTTTATTAGTGCAAGTAACCCATCTCTACATTTTTACCTTTTTTTTTCTTTCCAACTTTAGGGGCTAGTTATGACTTTCTGCTGTCTGTTGTCAGTGTTTCTTTGTTTAAATATGGCGCTTATCACATGCTGTGTGGTATCGGCGTTTGGTATCGGGGCATTTTAACGAGTACGAGTACGAGTACAGGAGGCCAGTATCGGGCCCGATACCGATACCAGTATCGGTATCGGTGCATCCCTAAAAATATTTGTACCCTGAATAGACACTTAACTATTTGGACTAAAGAATTGTCTATGAGGCTAGCAATCTTACTCTAAACATGGCTTCCTGGATAAGATGTTTTTTTGGCCTGGAAATAATAAATATGTCAGTGGCTGAAGAAATATGAAAATGACCATTTTAAGCCCTAAATAACACATGAACAAATCGGTGCAGCAACACTCTGTAATTCTGTCTGATTTGACCCTCGTGTGTCTGTATGTGTTTGACAACAGAGGGTCCGTGTCTCGTCCACTCTATGAACGGTGACCTGTTGAGGACTCTGGAGGGTCCAGACGGCTGCGTGCGGCCCCGTTTGGTTCTGTCCTCCACCGAGGGTCACTGTGTCATTTATTATGACAAGGGCCACTTCTGTGTGTTCAGCATCAACGGAAAACTGTTGGGACATATGGAGGTGGAAGACAGCATGAAGGTAAACATGAGCATAAACTCCCCTCTGTACAGTTATTTTGGGAATAGGAAGCAAGGACAACGGGTTGGGCAGCTTTCGCGTGTCCATTTGTCCCTCTTTTCTTTCTCTCTCTCCATTTCTTTTCTTCCGATTCTGTCTGGAGTGTGATTAAATGCTGGCATGATCTGCCTACGGGCCTCCATCTCTCTCTTTCTCTTGGCTTCTGAACCCTGAAGCTCCAGATCTGTCCTTTGATCTGCAGGGCTACGAAATGCCACTCAGCTTGCATGTGTCTGTGAGAGTGAGCCAGCGGTAAGGCCTCCTGCATCAGAGGACGAATTTGTCATTGGCGGGCAGAGCTCCTATAATCGGCCAGCTCTCTTTCTCTCATTCCCGCTCCATCACTTTCTCTTTCCTCTGGGCCTGGGAACATTCACAGAGTCTGCTTCTCCCCTCTCTCTCTCTCTCTTCCTCACTCCCTCTTCCTCTCTCTCTCTCTCTTCCTCACTCTCTCTCTCTCTCCGTCCGTCCTGCACACACATACCCACACCTGCATCCCATTTAACAGGCCGGCTCTGTTATGCACTCCTCACCTCTGAGCTTGATTAGTTTCCTCATTGTGTCCAGGTTCCATTTGTTTTCAATAAACAGCAGAGTCTGCAGCGATGGAGAAGAGGGGCAGATTTGCTCTTTAAAACACTTCCTTATTATTCCACTAATATGACATAATGCAGGATCAGCCTGCGTCATTTTACAGAATGCTGATCCTGGATTCAGTATATTTTTCTGTATGTTCTACACTACCATTCAAAGTTTAGGCTTTTTAAAGAAAATAATACTTTTAAAACTGATCAAAAGTGACATTAAAGACATTTAGAATGTTTCAAATTTCTATTTTAAATTAATGCCTTTTTTTTTTTTTTTTTTTACTTTAAAAAAATAAATGCTATTAAATTTTTCAGAGAATACTGAAAAAAGTATCATGGTTTCCACCAAAATATGAAGCAGCACGACTGATGATAATCAGAAATGTTTCTTGAGCAGCAGATCAGCATATTAGAATGATTTCTGAAGGAGTAACGAGACTGAAAATTCAGCTTTACATCATTTTACATACATTTTACAATATATTAAAATAGAAAACTTTTATTTTAAATTGTAATGATATTTCATATTAACACAGTTTACTGTATTTTAATTAAATAAATGCAGTCTTGATAAGCAGAAGAGACTTCTTTCAGAAAAAAAATAAATAAATTGTACATACCCCAAACTTTTGAACAGTAGTGATTTTCTAGACAGTTTAATTGATTATTATAAGAGACCCAATCTGGTTCTTTTGATTATTTGTGCACTCAAATAAAGCCACAGGCACGCTAGATATTGACTTCCATTCATACTCATGCAAACACAGGAGACTGGAAACACGAGCTCATGCTAATGTCACATTCCACTGCGTATGAAAGTCACATTTATTCAAAGCTACCCTGTGTGATGAAGTTGTGGGGCCAGTAGAGGTTCTAAACATCACAAATTGAAACCTTGGACAAACTTCAAATCTGGGAAAGTGGAGTAAATTATTTATTTTCACGTTTTAAGTGTTTCTTATTTCTTATTTGTGATTTATTAATTATTAAAAAAAGAAACTCTAGAGCATTCTAACGTGATTGCATAATTTGAACACCGTCTCCGTCTAACCAATCGTACTGCAAAATTGTCACTGTGACCAGTCCCAAAATAAAAAAAAAGGCTAATTTTTGCACATTTTAGTTTCTTCATATGTGACCCTGGAGCACAAAACCAGTCATAAGGGTCAATTTTTCGAAATTGAGATTTATGCATCATCTCAAAGCTGAATAAATAAGCTTTCCATTGATTGTTATGATAGGACAATATTTGGCCGAGATACAACTATTTGAAAATCTGGAATCTGAGGGTGCAAAAAAACTAAATATTGAGAAAATTGCCTTTAAAGTTGTCCAAATGAAGTTCTTAGCAATGCATATTACTAATCAAAAATTAAGTTTTGATATATTTACGGTAGGGAATTTACAAAATATCTTCATGGAACATGATCTTTACTTAATATCCTAATGATTTTTGGCATAAAAGAAAAATCAATAATTTTGACCCATACAATGTATTTTTGGCTATTGCTACAAATATACCCCAGCGACTTAAGACTGCTTTTGTGCTCCAGGGTCACATATGGTCTGCATGAAAAGTAGCAACAAAAAAAAATGTTACAGAAATATTCATGATCAGTCATTGCTGTCTTTTCCGAGTACTTGAGTTCTCTTTCCCATCTCTAACATCAGCACACGACAAGCTACTGGAAGCTCCTCTCATGCCAGATGAAGTGTCATCTGTGTAAATAATTACAAAGGAATGGCATTGAATTCATGCACAATTTTGAAGCTGAAAGACTAAAATTGAGTTTTCTTGTAAAACGTATCTTTTTTTTATTTCAAAAATCATTTTTAACAGTGTATAGACCTGAACATTTCAGTCCGTGTGATTTTGAAATGAACTGAACAGCTTTAGCATACATTGTGAAATGACTTCTGATGCTCAGCTCACAACCTCGACCCAGGTCTCTTTGCAAAACAATGGCCGTACACAGACTGCAGTCAGCACATTGTTGTCCAGGGTGGAGGTGTGTGTGTCGAATGTGTATGACGTGTGTGTGTGTGTGTGTCTGTTTGAGTGTGTGTGTGTGTGTGTGTGTGTGTGTGTGTGTGTGTGGTTTTGTGTTTGAGTGTGTGGGTTGCTGGGACAGTTAGTTGCTGCGGTTAAAGTGAGTCTTCATGCTGATGGTCTGACAGAACATTAATTTGGACGAGTAGAAATAATACATGAATGACTCTCTGGAGCCCACAACTGAGCGTCTGTCTGTTAGTAACCATTTTAGCAGACGTTTCCCAGTAATTTGTGTGTGTGTGTGTGTGTGTGTGTGTGTGGTTTTGTGTTTGAGTGTGTGGGTTGCTGGGACAGTTAGTTGCTGCGGTTAAAGTGAGTCTTCATGCTGATGGTCTGACAGAACATTAATTTGGACGAGTAGAAATAATACATGAATGACTCTCTGGAGCCCACAACTGAGCGTCTGTCTGTTAGTAACCATTTTAGCAGACGTTTCCCAAGCCTTCGGCACGTATGCAATGGACTGCATTAAAGTCTTCATAAATCCAGGCTTTACTCGTGCCAGACATGTCCTGACCTAACACAGACAGATCAGCAGATCAGGAGGAAAACACACAGCGGGGCATCATCCAACACAACCCTGTTGTTTAAAATCACGGCATGACTGTAAGTCAGATATCTGAGTCACGAATCTTGGAGGAGACCGCTGATTTACGATTCTGACCCGACCTGCTCTGCAGCCTGGACATCGCTGCTTCTCACAGACCCTTTTCCAGACCTGGTCCAGAGGGGCCACCGTGAATGCTGGATTATGTACTGATAGATCTTCTCAGACATCTTTGAAGTAATAAGGCACTCTGGAACAGAAGACTTCATTCAGCATTCAACCAAACAACATGATCGAGTCTCGGAGTGAGTCACAGGGTGGAGTTTGAATCATATTAAGCACTTTTGGACACTAACCTCTGGATAACAAAATGCATGAATAACGCTGTCATTAAATGAGACAGGGTTGTGACAGTCTGCTGATGCTTCCCTTCTGATTTTGTACGTCTGTCCCAAGCTTCTGCTTCATACCACCGCTGAAATAAAGCCACAGTGTAGCCTAAACCCTAATTACACACGTCTCAGATGCATGCGAAACAAATCAAAAGAGATCACATGCACGCAAATGTGCTGTAACGGTCTGAAGTCTGCTGGACAGAACATGCTGTTTTAATTGCTCAGTCTTTATATATTTATTTATTTTCAATTACACAATTATATAGGAGACACAACCAGGCTAGTTTCTCAGATTTTTGGGGTCTATTCCCAAACACTCAACAACAGTCTTTACTGCTCGGCATGATTTTACCAATAATAATAATAATAATAATAATAAAGTTCTCTCTGTAACAGTTTTTTTTTTTTTTTGAAAGACTGAAATAGTGTTTTCTTTTCAAATAAACTCAAATATTATTTTATATATACAGTATATATATATATATATATATATTTTTTTTTTTACATTTTTAAAAATTTTGAAATTATGTAAAATAAAAAGCCACCTTCTGCAACACGGTTTTACAGCAATAAAGAAAATAATTATGAAACATAAAATGCATGAAACCGCAGTGAAAAGGTAACATGTAGTAGTAGTAATAATAATAATGATGGCAATACTTTATTGTTATTAATGAAAATATAAATTATAAAATCTATCTTATGTCTTAAAAGTGGTACTCCAACCTCACAACCTCATTTTGCCTGAATGTATGCCAGTGTGGGTTTATTATGTTCACTTGTTTAACCAACATACAGAATTATGATCATAGTGGAACTTTTGATTTTGAAAACAGAATTGAAAGAAAAAAAAAGATTTTAAAAGGGTTTTGAACTAGATCACCTGTTTTAGGAGCTGAATTATAAATAATACATCAAAACCCTCTAAAGGAAAATTACCGGTTAATGCAATTTGTCAAGCTTATATATTTAGTCTAATTAATTACACTTAATAGCCACTTTGCAAACACTGTGTGTGTGTGTGTGTGTGTGTGTGTGTGTGTTTGCTTTCTCAGACATCTTTGAAGTAATAAGGCACTCTGGAACAGAAGACTTCATTCAGCATTCAACCAAACAACATGATCGAGTCTCGGAGTGAGTCACAGGGTGGAGTTTGAATCATATTAAGCACTTTTGGACACTAACCTCTGGATAACAAAATGCATGAATAACGCTGTCATTAAATGAGACAGGGTTGTGACAGTCTGCTGATGCTTCCCTTCTGATTTTGTACGTCTGTCCCAAGCTTCTGCTTCATACCACCGCTGAAATAAAGCCACAGTGTAGCCTAAACCCTAATTACACACGTCTCAGATGCATGCGAAACAAATCAAAAGAGATCACATGCACGCAAATGTGCTGTAACGGTCTGAAGTCTGCTGGACAGAACATGCTGTTTTAATTGCTCAGTCTTTATATATTTATTTATTTTCAATTACACAATTATATAGGAGACACAACCAGGCTAGTTTCTCAGATTTTTGGGGTCTATTCCCAAACACTCAACAACAGTCTTTACTGCTCGGCATGATTTTACCAATAATAATAATAATAATAATAATAAAGTTCTCTCTGTAACAGTTTTTTTTTTTTTTTGTATTTTTTTTTTTTAATGTAAACTTGTTATCCCACTTTTTGTTCTTTAATTCCTTTTATTTTGTTTATTTATTTTGCTATTATGGTTTTTAATTTGTTCATTCTACATTCTTCGGATATTACATTAAAAACTTAAAATATAAAAAAAAATACATTTTTAAAAGTTTACAAAATAACAACAACAACATAATAATAATAATAATATATATTAGTATAATTACATAATAATATTAATACACATAATATTAATGTATTATTATAAATATATAAATACAGGTGTGTGTGTGTGTGTGTGTGTGTGTGTTTGCTGTTCTATATTATCTGTGTTTCTCGTGGGACCTCTAAAGTGTTACACAGCCCATGTGCGCACAGGAAAACCAGATGAACAGAATAAATCTCGTAGTCTGCCTGCCCTTCGCCGCAGGATACCACCGCTACAGCGCTTTAAGAAACCAACTGTTCGCCAGGTTGGCCCCGTGCATGCTGGGAAAGAAAGGGGGCTTGTGGGGCTGATTCACTGAGCTGAGAGCAACAACAAAAAACATTTGAAAGCACCCATCACATGCTTATCAGTGTTATTTATCATCGAGAAACATGAAAGGCCCCTAAAGGGGTCAGGGGTCCTCTTGAGTGGTTAGTTTCTTTTAATGAGAAGATTTTAAAAGAAGCAATGACTTGTTTATATTTACTGTGAAGCCGAAATATATGTGACTTTTATTTCATCTGAAATTCAACAAAGTAAAACAGGTGAACCCACGACTTTGCCGTTATAAATGAAAAGCATGCAGTACTGACTGATGCATTGACTACACTGACTGTCCTCTGCAGGCGATGCTGCTCAGTAAAGATGGCCAGTATCTGCTGACCGGAGGAGACGCAGGAGTTCTCAGCATCTGGCAGATTCATGATCTCAAGCAGCTCTTCACTTACCCTGGATGTGATGCTGGAATACGCTCTATGGCTATGTCACATGACCAAAGGTAGGATGCATGAAGACACCGAGTTCCTGTTCTTTTTCTAGACTCAAGATTACAATATCTCCATGTTGACTTGGGGAAGAGCAGGGATAATTCTAACGCTTTTTAAATGTACACAATTCAATCCAGAAGTTCTTAGCAAAATAACACATTTTTAGTAATAGGCACAGATATATAAAAAAAATAAATGTATGCAAGTTAATTAAAAATTGGATTGTTTAGATTTTAGAATTAGAATTCTAGAATTAGAATTATTGTCATAATTTTATTTGCAATAAATCAAACTCTACATTAAACAGTTATCGCTACTTCAAAACATTCATACTGTACGCCACTGTTCAAAAGTTTGGAGTTATTTGGTAAAAAAAATGTTTGTTAAAACTGATCAATTTTTTTCTTTCTTTACTGCCACTTTTAATCAAATTAATGCATCCATGCTGAATAGAAATATTAATTTATTTCTTTAAAAACATTAAAAATCTTACTGATCCCAAACTTTTGAGTAGTAGTGGATGTTTTTGAGCTGTTTCTGGTCTCGTTTTGTACAGTAGCTACATTACAAAAGAATCAAAAATGTTCCCGTCTGTGTAAACGTAACAGCTTCTTTCTCCAGAAAAGAATAGAGTAAAAATTAAAATAGAACACACATGCTTACTTAATTACTTACTTACTTATATGTGACCCTGGAGCACAAAAGCAGTGTTAAGTCGCTGGGGTATATTTGTAGCAATAGCCAAAAATACATTGTATGGATCAAAATTATACTTTTTTTTTTTATGCCAAAAATCATTAGGATATTAAGTAAAGATCATGTTCCATGAAGATATTTTGTAAATGTCCTACCGTAAATATCTCAAAACTTAATTTTTGATTAGTAATATGCATTGCTAAGAACTTCATTTGGACAACTTTAAAGATGATTTTCTCAATATTTTGATTTTTTTGCACCCTCAGATTCCAGATTTTCAAATAGTTGTATCTCGGCCAAATATTGTCCTATCATAACAAACCATACATCAATGGAAAGCTTATTTATTCAGCTTCAGATGATGTATAAATCTCAATTTCAAAAAATTGACCCATACGACTGGTCCAGGGTCACATATATATAACACACACAAACACAATGCCGTGCAAAGTTTGGGATCAGTAAGATTTTTAATGTTTTTAAAGAAGTCAGTAAAAAAAAAAAAAACAGTAATATTGTGAAATATTTTTACTATTTAAAATAGCTGCTTTCTATATGAACCCATGTTCAAATGTAATTTATTTCTGTGATGCGCAGCTGAATTTTCAGCATCATTACTCCAGTCTTCAGTGTCACAAGATCCTTCAGAAATCACTCTAATATGCTGATTTATTATCAATGTTAGAAACCGTTTTTGCTGCTTAATATTTTTTGGAACCTGTGATACTTGTTTCAGGATTCTTTGATGAATAAAAAGTTCAAAAGAACAGCGTTTACTCAAAATAGAAATCTTTTCTAACAATTCAAAACAAGTCTTTACGATCACTTTTTATACATTTAACACATCCTTGCTGAAGAAAAGTATTCATTTATTTCAAAAAAGAAAAAAATTACTGACTCCGAACTTTTGAACGGTACTGTATATTGTTGCAAAAGATTTCTATCTAGATATAAAATCAAAATAAGAAGATGTGTCTAATATTAATGGGACACGTCTCTGTCTCCCCTCTTGTCTCTTTGTCCTCATGTCCTCATGCAGATGCATCATCACTGGGATGGCGTCTGGTAGCATTGTTCTGTTCTACAATGACTTCAACAGATGGCACCACGAATACCAAACTAGATACTGACCCCGTGAGGCCACAGAGGGAACAGAGCAACCACGACCCTTCATACAGACACTACCAACTACCAAGAGGCATGAATGTATTCTAAATATTTAAAAAGCAAAACTATTTTTTAAAAATGGCATTGCTATATTTTGTAGATCTTATTGAATTTCTTACTATATAAATCCTAGGGAGGGGTTATATACCTAATATCTGGAGGAAAAAAATCTATTTTTAGCCGTCGAAGTCTATTTTCACCTTTGCTCTTGTGAAAAAGACTGGTCAATAGCTAGACGACTCTATTTGTGTATAGTGTCTATGGATAGCTGATTAGTTTGTGTAACTTAGGGAGGGTGAGTTTGTTTTTTAATTCTTTCCTTCTCATTTGCTGTGATTATTTTGACAGGATGCCTCTAAACGTCATGTTTTGTAGTTTAATAGCTCAGTTCCTGAAGCTAACAGGAAGCTGCCTCATTTTTTGGGGAGAATTATGGGAATTATATTCATAGATTAAATAGATAGCCGTCTGCAGACATATCAAGGCATCCACTTCAAATGTTCACTTTATGAATGGAAAAGTGGCCTCAAATGAGAGAAATCTGAAGTTTTGTTGAAACGTGAGTGGACCTCTTGTGTGATCATGTAATGATGTTGCTTTAGAAACTGAAGGGATATGATTCTGCATATGAAGGGATAGTAATTTAGAAATTATATTAATTATCTTCATGGTTTGGGGTGTGTGTTTTTATCTTTTTTGTTTGTTCCACATCTATCAAGTGTTCCAGAACGTAACCATTTTTTTTCTTTTCTTTGAGGAGATGCAAGTGATGATAAAAAATATTAATGTCCATTTCAAGTGTCATCAAATAGTCTTTTTGTCATTTCACCACTGTGCTTTTACCCTTAGTGTATGCAGACATGAATGAGGGCAGAGCGTCATATTTTGTTAGCAATCTAAGTTGAGATCAAAACTAAAATGGGATAAAAAAATTTAAAAAAACATTATAATATTTCACTATATGTGGTTCATAATACAACCGGCTCAAGATATAACCCTATAGATCACACTCAGGGCAAGCAGGGGTCTGTCAAATTACAAAGAAGAGTTTATTTCTTGGTTTGAGTCAGCTATGGTGTGATTCTGACATTGACAATGCAGTCCGATTCCTTTGGTTTGGTTTGGTTCGTTACTGTTGTATCATGTTATATCTCGGCTAAATCACAATCAGATTGGAATGAGCGTCTTATGACGTGTGTGATGAACTCAAAAAATAAAATGGCATTTTGTACCAATAAAAAAAGTTTCAAAGCATTTATTTTTTTTTGTAAAAACATGCAGATCTGGGGGATCGAAGAAAGTTTGAATTGTGTTATTACTATTGAAGTTTTTAAATCATTATTATTTTGAATGTATATATATATATATACTATTTTAATTTCAGTTAACATTTTAATAATTTTGTTGTGCTTGTCTTTTTTTTTGTCAGTTTTTAAAAATGTCTAGATATTTATTAAGTTATTTTATTTTATGATTTATTCTAATGTATGATTCTGGCTTCAGGTTTAGTCAATGACAATGACCCTGCTTGGAAACTGTCAGAATTAAAGGTCTTTCAAGCTCTTACTAGGTACACTAGAAACTTCCAGGCAGGTGTGTTGAGGCACGTTGGAGCTGAACTCTGCAGGACACGGGCCCTCCAGGACCCAGTTTGGTGACCCCTGTTTTAGAGTGTCACCCCTTCATTGCTGTGCACTTTTTTTTTCCTGCATCATGAACGATTTGTAGATTTTACACACACAAAAATATTAAAATCTGGTCTAAAATGACCGAACAACACCGGAGGGTTAATATTGGAAGAGCTTATCAGCGCTGGAGATCCTTACAGAGCGAGAAGCTTGGAAACTGTCATCGAGGTTGCTTTGTTTTTTGCTTGGTACGTGAGTAATTCTGGTTTTGCTGTGTTTTACAGAACCAAGATATCCTGTTGATATTCTATCTTCGCTTGTTTATTCATTTGCATTATTTTTTTTGCTTGGCGTCAGAATTTGTTGGCGGAACAATGACAGGAGAGGTGTGTTGGACACTTTTTGTTTCCATAACCGATACTGATCATTTCTTGAATGGGTGTGTGATTTTTTTCAATAATGATAAAAAAAATTAAAAAAGCAAATATGACTACAATTAAATAAAAATCAGTGTACCAATAGGTGTAAAAAATTTTGTAATGTCTGTACTTCTATATTTCCTTCAAGCCTGTCTTGTGGATTTTGTCACAGGTTCTCATTACAAAAGCCTGCATATATACAGTAATGTCAAATCTGAAAACATGTGAAAAAATGATTCATGGGACCGTAGAAACAATGTCTGAAAAAGAATGATGATGAAATATTGCATTCATAGATAATATAGTCCAACTGGCTCATGAGTGCTGCAGTGATGTATTTTTGTAGGCCAACCCATAAGTTAGCATCACCTTGGTTCCCTCAACAAAAAGAAAGAAATAAATAACCAATAGGATTTTGCCATTGGCTTTTGGATTATTGAAGAACATAAGCTGTTACCAGTTTATCATTCTTACATATTTTATAATGATAATCCTCACAAATGAGCACAACGTGTGTGGATTTTAAAGCCAAAATACAATCCCCAGAAGTTAAAAGCTAAACAGTACAGTTTGAACAAACTCCACCATGGTCACATGACTTCAGTGTCACCGTATTAAGCTTCCGACAGCTCTTTCAGTCTTTATTTCAAAAACATTTTCCATGAAATTTTGAGTTATAGATTGCAAGAGCATGATTATAAACACAAGACTGTAAAAGTGCACTAGAGAGTAGATGAGTTTTCCCGTTCACACTGATGTGATGACTATACAGGTTTGACATGGTTGTACTGTGGTTTAAGATGTATTTTTGTAGGCCAACCCATAAGTTAGCATCACCTTGGTTCCCTCAACAAAAAGAAAGAAATAAATAACCAATAGGATTTTGCCATTGGCTTTTGGATTATTGAAGAACATAAGCTGTTACCAGTTTATCATTCTTACATATTTTATAATGATAATCCTCACAAATGAGCACAACGTGTGTGGATTTTAAAGCCAAAATACAATCCCCAGAAGTTAAAAGCTAAACAGTACAGTTTGAACAAACTCCACCATGGTCACATGACTTCAGTGTCACCGTATTAAGCTTCCGACAGCTCTTTCAGTCTTTATTTCAAAAACATTTTCCATGAAATTTTGAGTTATAGATTGCAAGAGCATGATTATAAACACAAGACTGTAAAAGCGCACTAGAGAGTAGATGAGTTTTCCCGTTCACACTGATGTGATGACTATACAGGTTTGACATGGCTGTACTGTGGTTTAATGTTGTATCATTTTTGATCAGGTAAACCGGTTCAGTGAACAAATTAAGTTTGGAAAAATTGGAAGCAATTGGAAAAAGTACCAAGTTTTGAAAAAAAAAATATATATGTGCATTTTGTTGCATCATTGGTTGTGAGTTTAAAGTTTCTGATATTCGTGCCAAACTGATTGCCAAAAAAATCACTAACATCATAGCCTTAAAAAACAACTTTGTGCCCTTAAAATGTTAACCTAAGCCTTACCTTCACTACACAAATTGCTGACTACATGAATTGTTGTAGTTACATCTGTGGAATAATCAGCATTACAGAGTCTCCACTTAACATTTCCCAATGTTTTTGGAGACTGACACATTATTTAAATTTTATATTCTATTTTATATATATATATATAAAATAAAGCATTAGCCTTTTTATATTCCATTCAGGCGGATTTGCATGTAAATAATAGTGCAATTAATGATTATCAAAGACTCATTTGAATTTGAATCTGGGACAATCTTGAGATCACAATGACTCAGACGATGCAAATTAGCACATTATATAATGTCTCAGTCCTGTTTTTTTAATTAGACTGATCTTTCGTTAGCTGTTATTTAGAGACCGTTTGTGCAGTTGCAAAAGTTGTTTTGATGGATGTTCAATCTCTACTGTTTATGGGGTGCCAAATTACATCAGCAGCATCAAGAGAAGCAACCTAATGAGTGAACTGTGTCGCCACCAGCTAGCAACATTAACAATACCTAAAAAAGAAAGAAAAAGAAAAAAGGTGAATTTTTGGGTGAAAATCACAACACTAGATGGCGTCATTTATATTATAAGTTTGACATGCATTTATTTTATTAATTTAAAGTGTGTGTGTGTATATGAGAAAGTGCTACATATATACACGTCAGTAGTACAAGTAAATATATACAGGTAGTAGCAGTCTGATAATATTCGAACTCTTCAGACAGTGGCCCTCCAGAAGCAGGATTGTGTATATGATTTTGGCATTACATAGAGAGGAACAACTGTGTGGAGGGAGGGGACATCTTTATTCACTGATCAGTAAAACAATTTGCTCAATGAATGAGCAACGTCCTCTACAATAAACATCAGCATCATCATCATCCAAAGTCTACAATACCAATTTAGCAGCAACATGTTAACACGGGGGAAACAGAGTGGTAACAAAGTAGTATCATTTAGAAAAAAGTCACAGTTTTTCTTTCTATCTGTATCATTAAAAAGGATTTGCAAGGAGGGTATTTTAAAAAGAGGTTTATTGACAGCTATGGACGCTACGGTTATTTTTTTTTGAGCTATGGCATGTGCTCTGTACAGAATACATGGGGAGATTTTAACTATACATTTAAACTCTAATATAAAGCACATCTGTGTCACCATACAAATTTTTAGGAGATTCAACAAAAATATACAATGTTTTCACTTCACATTTGAAGATTTATAACACCACTAAGTTTTTTTTCCTCGTTTTTCTCTTCTTTTTTTTTTTATGGTAAATACAACGGTCTCATTGGTCAAACCAACCGAATGAAGGAGACACAACGTTAGTTATTCTACTCAGTAAGCTATGAGTGATTTAAATTGGTAAAAGGATGAATATAAATTAATATATATTAAGAAATTCCAACTGTAACTTCAGGGAAATGAAGGGCTATACTGAGTATAAGTAAGGTGACAGTATTTTTGATACAATAAATACACATGGTTTATAATGTGGATCAGATGTGTGTGTGTGCATGCTGGAAGAGCTCCTGTGTCCATTTATTGGGACGTGTTTGTGTGTGTGTGTGTGTGTGTGTGAGAACGAATAGGAGCAGCTATGATAGTGTGTGTTTGTGTGGTACACTGTAAAGAAGTAGGAGACGAGACGAAACCCCTTGTAGTCTCCATAGTGATACTTTATCTCACCTTCACAAAGTCCAGGTGACATGAGTTGAGGCAGTCCAGAAAACCCACATAAAAGAATGGCACAAAAAAGTGAAATGCGTCAACAGGATGTGTTTGCTTTCCATTCTGGTCTGAGGTGAGTTTGCCAAAAAAAAAAAAAGTAATCAAAAATGTCACAGTACCTAAAATGATGGCAAACAAAAAAAAACTCTAAAATCTATTTTTTGTCTTTTTTTCACCACTTCATAATAAAAAATAGGTTTGTACATTTAAACTCTAATATAAAGCACATCTGTGTCACCATACAAATTTTTAGGAGATTCAACAAAAATATACAATGTTTTCACTTCACATTTGAAGATTTATAACACCACTAAGTTTTTTTTCCTCGTTTTTCTCTTCTTCTTTTTTTTATGGTAAATACAACGGTCTCATTGGTCAAACCAACCGAATGAAGGAGACACAACGTTAGTTATTCTACTCAGTAAGCTATGAGTGATTTAAATTGGTAAAAGGATGAATATAAATTAATATATATTAAGAAATTCCAACTGTAACTTCAGGGAAATGAAGGGCTATACTGAGTATAAGTAAGGTGACAGTATTTTTGATACAATAAATACACATGGTTTATAATGTGGATCAGATGTGTGTGTGTGCATGCTGGAAGAGCTCCTGTGTCCATTTATTGAATGAATAGGAGCAGCTATGATAGTGTGTGTTTGTGTGGTACACTGTAAAGAAGTAGGAGACGAGACGAAACCCCTTGTAGTCTCCATAGTGATACTTTATCTCACCTTCACAAAGTCCAGGTGACATGAGTTGAGGCAGTCCAGAAAACCCACATAAAAGAATGGCACAAAAAAGTGAAATGCGTCAACAGGATGTGTTTGCTTTCCATTCTGGTCTGAGGTGAGTTTGCCAAAAAAAAAAAAGTAATCAAAAATGTCACAGTACCTAAAATGATGGCAAACAAAAAAAAACTCTAAAATCTATTTTTTGTCTTTTTTTCACCACTTCATAATAAAAAATAGGTTTGTTCTTTATCTTACAGTAATCCATGATGTCCTCTGAAGGAAAAACATTAGTCCAACACTGAGAAAAAAGGTCAAACGAAACAGGGGACTTCAAAAGAGGAGGGGGGGGGTGAGGATGCATTTCTTCTTTTTCATTTTTAGGATGGACATTTTGTGCAGCCACACTTGACGATCTTTTCCACCTCCTGGACAAAAGAGGATCCATCTGTGCATTGGAAGGTGTATTTCCTGCGTTTGCTGCGGAGGGGGGCGCAGCAGGAGGTCCCGTCCCCGCAGATGCCCCGACACACTAAACGGGAGACCTTCTCTGTGCTTTGGCACGCTGCGTAGCCCTGCTGCGTCTGATAGTGATCTCGGACCCGTTCCCCCCGACACGCCATCTCTGCAGAGAGGGAAAAATGTGCACTACAGTATATCACATATATAGTATATTGCATATCAATCATGATCGGTTTCATTATATTTGCACTGTGAAATTGAAAGGTGACCCCTATGAAAATACAGTGAGTGAAAGCGGAAAAGGAAGGAGAGAAGAGGGCTGTGGGGGGGCTGCAGGAATATAGGTTCAACTTAAAGCTTGAGGTTTATTAATTATTAAAGGAGGGAAGAAATTTAAAGGAGTAGTTCACCCAGAAAATGAAAATGTGCTCACCCTCAGGTCATCCAAGATTAGGATGAGTTTGTTTCTTCATCAGGTTTGGAGAAATGTAGCACTGCATCAGTGTCTCAGCAATGGATGCTCTGCAGTGAATGGGTGCCGTCAGAATGAGAGTCCAAACAGCTGATAAAAACATCACAATAATCCACAGTCCATCAGTTAACGACTTGTGAGAAAAGCTGCATGTTTCTAAGAAACAAATCCATCATTAAAGCATTTTAAATGTAAACGGTTGCTTCTGGCCAAGTCCATAATAAATAATAACTCTTCCTCCAGTGAAAATATCCATCTCCTGTTGTCTCTCACATCAACATCCAGCCACATATTTGTTTAGAGCTGGTTTGGTCTGGTTTCACTTGTAAACTCTGTGCAGAGTTCTCTCCTGATTCAGATGAAATGACTTTTTCACTGAAGAAAGCAATATTATGGATCAACGGTTTTGTATTTTAAAACGTCTTGATGGATTTGTTTCAGCTTTTGTCTTCTCCAGATGTTAACTGATGGACTGGAGTGCTGTGGATTACTTGTGGATTATTGTGATGTTTTTATCAGCTGTTTGGACTCTCATTCTGACGGCACCCATTCACTGCAGAGCATCCATTGCTGAGACACTGATGCAATGCTGCACTTCTCCAAATCTTCAGCAAATTTTCATTTTTGGGTGAACTATTCCTTGAAGATGAACACAGACACACACACACACACACAGCATGCATCCCTCACCTGGCGGACCTGAGTGGGGTCCATACCGCTTTCAGTAGCAGCTTGAAGGTTACAGGAAGGTTAAAAACGTATGTTAGTAAAATAACAACAATAATAGCGCAAGATTAGCTTCTCACAGGGTTAGCATTTCAACAGCAAGCTACACAGACGTTTAGAATGAAAACACCACTTTAGCAACATATAAGCATTAAAGGCATTTTGACACATGCAAGCACAAGTTACAGTACAGGTGAGTAAAGAAGCATTGACCTTGCATACACTTTTATATAAAACAGAAATACATCACCACAAAATAAAGATATGAGGAGAAGGTTATCAGTTAAAGGCTTCAATTTTTGGTCTGTTCCTTAAAACAATTGTGAGAGAATGTAGCTTAAAAGTGTCATACATTATTCAGAAAATGCTATGTTCTCTTCTGATGTTGTTTTCGAAGAGAATACATTTTAAATTAATCTAAATCTAAATTCATCTTGTGGAAATGTTTGGTACCGTGCTCAAACAAAACCGTACTGAAAGCTCATTTTTTGAGATATCAACCTCAAATTTGTAACACAGCTTTGATTTTCTTGCAGTTTTAGAATAAAACATGTCTTTTTATTAAATCTGTGCTCCAAAGTATTCAAGATTTACAACAGTTTAAGTTGGAAATGTCCTTTTCAGGTCTATGCTCAAAAAGTGGTTAACAGGTCATAAATGGTTCAAAACCATTCCATAAATATAATTTAGTACCATAAATCCCCTAACAATACAAAATATTAAATAGAAAACATTAATAAACTAAAATATAGTACAAAATAATAATAAAAAAAAGTGACGAAAGACACCAGAGGTTTGAATGATGGTAAAGGTAATCTAAAAATAAAAATGGAGGAAATGAGCAGAACCACAGCTAAATATCCAATATTGGCCAATATTTACTAAAAAAACAAAACAATAATAATAATAATGGCTGATAACTGATGTGGTACTGATATATTGTGCAACCCGAGAGCTTATGGAAAAAACACTTTCAGTATTACTTAGTGTATATATCATTTGGAAACCGCAAAATTGTGTGTGTAGTCACATTTTTCTCATGAGATCAGGTTTATATAAAGATTGAAAGCATGCCGCCGTACCTCTATCACAGCTTTGCCCCGTGTAGCCGCTGTTGCACTCACAGTAGGCTTTCCCCAGCCCAGACACGCGACAGCGGCCGTGTTTACATGCTATGTACTGACAGGGACTCAACTGCTCCTCTTCATCACATAATACACCTGCAAAGCCTGGATGACAGCGACAGCTGTACGAGTATGAGTTTATGGGCTGACAGGAGCCGTGGATACACCTGAGACAGACACACACACAAATGCTTTTATATAATGAAACCAACATACAGAGAGAGGAAGGGGGAGGAGGTAAACAAACCTGTGTGTGTGTGTGTGTGTGTGTGTGTGTGTGTGCACTTTCAAATCTCTCACTTGTTCCCGTCACATGGGCTGCTGATCTGCTGGTCACACAGCGGGCCGGTCCATCCTGCCTCACACTCACAGCTGAAGGAGGATTGTCCGGTAGCATGGCATTGCCCATGAGCGCACACACTCCGCTGGCAGGGCTGGCAGCCGGGCACCACCCCCTCCTGCAGCAGGAACTGGGTGAGGTCCTGGAGCTGGTCGTTAATGTAGAGGTTTCGGATACAGCCGTGGAAACTAGAGCCGTTCCTCCCGGAGCCCTGGCGCAATGAGGCCAATCCAGACTGCTGAGGAATTCCTGAGAAGAGAGGAGCTTTATTATTTGATACCAGGGTCGGAAAATAACAGCGGCTAAAATGCAATTAAATTAAACTAAATCTATTATGGCTGGAGATCGGCTGAATGGGTTCGAAAACGGTAAAACTCAACTGTTTAACTCTAGGGGAGTTGGAAAATGAGCCTATTTTCAAAAATAGTGGAGTGTTCCTTTAAGTATTTGGCATTAATAAGGTAATTTAAAAAGTGGCCCAGGGGGTAAATATTGCCCCTTACTGGAAAAGTTCATTTCTGACTCTGTTTGATAGCATACATAACATTAGAATTTTTTTATTTTTTTTTATTGATGTGAACTAATTCCAGGGTTAGAAGCAGCACTAACCACTTTTCAAACAGGCGAGTGTGTTTTACATACCACCAAGATAAAGCGGAGCAGGGCTGGGTCCTGGATCGGGACTGCTGGCAGTGTTGATGGATTTGGGGCTTCCTCCATCAATAGACAGAGACAGAGACTGATCCTTTGCCACCAGCTCCACTACATGAAAACTGCCATCATTTATAGTCTCAACACTAGAGAGAGAGAGCAGAAGTGAACAGTGAGGGTAATACCTGCAGATAGTGCTTAGCTGAGCTTAAATGAGAGCAACTGATTAGACTTCAGAGGACTAAAGGCACGATTTTTCATTACTACAGAAAAAGAAAAAAAACAAGCTTTTTAGGAGGTCTGTCACCCTAACCCTTTGCCAATTATGCTTTAATTTCTGTGAAAATGAAAACATCAACCAAAGCTAAACTTCAGTTTAATGTTCCACTGTTGCTTCCACATTAAAATATACAAAGTACAATTAAAATCTAACGTATATCACTCTATAAATAAATAATGATTATTTTAATGGCTTTGAATTTAAACCATCATACATACAGGAACTATGAAAATATAATAATATGGAAATGTGCAAGTTACTGTAAGCTATGTTTAAAATGCAACACTAAATTTTATACCACAAGTAATACTATATGTAACATTATTTTAAAAAATATATTATTTTTACAATATATTATATTAGAAAAAAATTTTTTTTTATACTTTTAATATTATTTTTGTCTTTATCACTTTTTATCATTTAAATGCATCCTTGCTGAATACAAGTATTAATTTCTTTTCTTTTTTTTTTAAATCTTATAGTTAAAAATATACAGTATATTTAGTCAAGGGTGCCATATTTGAGGGCATAAAAATGTTTAAAAACCCCTGCACTAGCATATATATGCCTCAAAGTGAATATATGTGAACTAAATACTTAAATTAAACTTAAGTCAAAATGCAGAAGTCATATGTTAAAAAAACAAAACAAAAAACCTTTCTTTATCAACTTAAGGTCCATTTAGGTGTGGAGTCTAAATATGCTGTAGGTTCATGCTGCTTCTTTTTTTCATAATAATAATATTTATGAACAGTGAAATCTATTGTGTTCTCAGATTAGACTTCTCTAATTACAAAAGTTTAAGTTACTTAACCCACTGAATTTCTTTTTTATGAATTTAAACACACTATAAAGCGGCACATAAATCATCATTCCAACGTATCACATCATATCATCTTTAAAACACCCCCCTCCAACTCAGTTTTTATAGTGAACCCAACGGGAGAGCTGTAATGGAATATCAGAACACAAACACAGAGCAGAACCTCAGAGACTCCAGCTGCATTCCACACAGATCCAGTGTTGTGTTAACATCTGCACCAATGGGCATAAAAACACACAAATGAACTTATGTGTCTTAGAGAGAGAGATGAAACAGACTTGAGTGACTGCAGAAGGGTGGAAGGATTTAAATGTCCCGTTTAAAGACATGTTCATATATTAGTTTGTAAAGTACTAATGCACTGGAGTCAGAGAAGTTGCTGAGATATTTTCAAGAGCCATAATATACAAATTATACAAATACAGTACCATTCAAAAGTTTGGAATCAGTAATATTTTTGTTTTGTTTTTGAAGTAAGTCTCTTATGCTGAACCAGGCTTTTATTTGGCTTTGCATTTATTTGATAAAAAAAATACTGTAAAATAGTAGTGTGTGTGTGTACAGTATGTATATATGTACAGTATGTATATATGTGTGTGTGTAAAAATCTTTTCTAACAATATAAGTATTTACAATCACTTTTTTAACAATAAAAGTATTAATTTCTTTCAAAAAAATAAAGAAAAAAAACCTCAAAACTTTTGAACAGTATTAAAAAATACTGAATACTGAAATACTGAATACTGTATATTGTTAGAAAACATTTCTATTTTGAATAAATATTCTTTTTTAACTTTTCATTCATCCAAGAATGCTGAAAAAGTATCACAGTTTAAAAAAAAAAAAACATATTAAGCAGAAATAACAGTTTCCAACATTGATAATAAATCAGCATATTACAATGATTTCTGAAGATCATGTGACACTGAAGACTGGAGTAATGATGCTGAAAATACAGCTTTGATCACAGAAATAAATTATATTTTTAAGTATATTAAAATTATTAATTTAAATTGCAATAATATTTCACAATATT